TCTATTACCGTCTCATAATCTAATGAGACGGTAAACCGACACGACCGGAGAGAGATCAGGCGCAGAACCAACGGCTTTACTTACAGGCACGGAGGTGAGACATCACCAACTTCCTAACTCCGGGCAGCTACTGAGAATTTCTTGACAGAAAAACTCAATAACTTATTTTTTGGCCCGACCCGGGATTCGAACCCGGGACCTCATGATCAGCAGTCGCACTACTACAACTACTAGACCAACGAATAACTAATATACCAAAAACACTTTTCTAACATATGAACTACCCCCGCTGTGAAATCTGTCAAATGTTTCACCTCATTATAAAGTGGCGCCGCTCAAATTTCTATCACCCGCGTCCATACGTAACATAAAATGTAGCCCATTACCCACAGCAATTACATTGACAGTAGACGACTAACCAACTAAATAATAAAAAAGAACATAAACACTCACCTATACCTCTTTCGCCTCCCTTACATCCATACCGACTCGTATATCTACGCATACATGCTCGTCGGTTAAGGGTACTTCTAACGTGGCCCATTTTCAAAATATCGCCAATTTGGTCGATAAACTTTCTTCTAGGGCGTCCCTTCCCGGCTCTGCCGTTCACATCTGCCATATAAATTTGCTTAAATAATAAACAGATCACTAATAGGGGAAGGTTCGTTAAAGTGGTCCCGGCGCATAAAGTGGCCACCTTCTTTTTAAGAACCAACCAAGGAGCACCATTTGTCAATGGCTTATGGAAATTATTCATTGGCCGACGTCATATTGTTCCAGTAAACACCGACGCGCTCAGTTCACGCGGACAGATTTTATGACAAAAAAGGTGGTTTTTGTGGTCTCTGATCTAAGGTAAGTGGTTTAAACATTGTTAGATATAATTTACTGCGTTCAATATAAATACAAAACAATGTAATGTTTTATCAGTTAATCCATCTAATGAACTGTTTCTTTCACGGTAAAGTAGAACAATATAACCTCATTTGACATTTGAGTCGTTTTTTCCGTCGCATGCCGTTTCGGGTAAAGTGGCCGACTAGGCCATTTTAGTGCTAATTTTTCTTGTAATTTTGGTTTTATTGCCGTCTAATATAAATAATGTTTTATATTGTTTTAGATATGCCAAATTCATATAAATGGACGTCGTAGCAGCAGACATGGGACCTGACTGCGATGGAAAAAGTTATCAGAGCCATAAGAAACGAAGAAATGGGAACTTTGTTCTTAAGAATTTTGTGTGAATGGACAATGAAAAAAAAATTAATAAACTTTTAGTCCCTTAGTCGCATTTGATTATTTCTTGAGTCAAATTTAAATAAAACTTAAATTAATCTAAGAATAATTGGATTTTATTGAGACTAGGTCAATTTCCCATTTCGGCTTTAAACTTAAAAATACTATAAAATGTCTTGATATAAGTCAAAATAAGAATGTGATGTTAAAACTTAAAACTACATTAGTCTGAGAGAATACCATAAGAAAGTAATGTAATTTTTTTTTTGATATTTATCTAATAGGCACTCATTCAAGCCTTAGGGTGGTCACTTTACCCGACCTTCCCCTACTCAAGTGGTCATCTGGAGCTTCTCGCATATATACTATTAAATGTTCGCTTGCTCCATACAGCACAACGTACTGATTATAAACTCCTTGATGCCCGTCTACTAATCTAGTTTCTCATCCATTTTGTTATCTCTATTTTCGAATTTTTGCTATCAAGTTTTTTTTTAATATCTACCTACTATTTAATTCTTCATATATTTTAATTTTGTATTCTCTGTGCTTAACCGGAACAAAAGCATGGATCTCAGTGTGCTTATTAGTAGCCGTTGCTTGATCCCTCATGGTGAACTACGATGAACCCATATGACTGGCCCGAGGTAAACGAAGAGAATGTTCCGGGTGAGTAAGCTCACTCCAGTTGCGCGTGGGTGGACTGCGACGGAAGGCTGGTCCTCTCTCCCTACCCGTGGCAGCTAAGGTGGCGTCGCGTAGAAAGAAGACTGCTGGTATGGAGATGCATGTGACGTGCATGTGACGATTCTAATGCAGTGGTGAGGCGGTCGCGGGAGGAGAGGAGTATTGGTATTACGATGTGTTGATCTCTCTACCCTTCCTACCCTCCGTTGTCGAAACGTGGTCTGCGACGGAACCACAGACCAGATCCGCCGCTAAGGTTCTGAGAAAGCTTTTGCTTACAGGCGCACGTTTTTTCTGGCTAAATGACTTCTGAGTAACTGACTAGGTAACCGGAAATGGAACCCATGTATGTAGGTCATGTTCCGGCGCGTCTTGCTTCAAGGAGAGGAAGAAGTTTTTCTTTTCCGAGGAAGCGTCGCCATAGGGCGGATGACGCTGGTAGGGCTATGTGCGAAGGGATGAAAGTGTTCCCGTGGCCTAGTCTATAAACGGCTAATGTGATATGTTGCTGGATTTTAGTCAGTACTAGTTTGACATTGGTGATGGCCTTGGAAGTTGGTGTGCATAGGCATAGTTGCCCATGAACAAAGCTTAGGACGAGTGAGTGCTGTATTTCAACTGACTGTCACGGCTACGGTGCATTAAAATGTCATAAATACAGATCCACTTGACGGCAGAATGGCGCTGCAGTTAAGCATTTGGCTGCGGAACTGCGGGACCGCGGATTCAAATCGTAGAATCGTAGAAGTCTTTGCATGGCCTGGAAATATCTGTTGATGTGAAATTTATGTATCTATAACACTTCCGAGGTACAGGGCAAAATCCTAGTGTCAACGTTTTTATAATAGGAATAATATTAATAAGTCCGATATTCTTACCAAACAGTGGACAGCATACTACGAATTAAACAAACCCAATGGTTGAAATGTACTGTCACTTCCACAACTATGACGAATATATACACAATCCATATTATGAATTCCATGAAACCCTTTAGGACAAGAAGCCGGCCAAACGAATAGACATACGTACAAACTTGAAACATTACCCTCCTTCTGGGGCAGTCGAGTCGCTAAAAGGCAAGAATGTATACGAAAGTAGTCATAGTGATCGATATCGATTCGAATCGATTTCATGTAGATAATCAAATATCACATCAAGGAAAATAAAACAAGCAGTCATATTTAAATTATATTAAACATTTAATTAATTACATACAGTTCATTATAAAAAGAATAATTACACTTGAAGATTAATGTTTGCTATAATCAATTTATAACATTTAATTTAAATAGCGAAATAAGAAATTTCAAAAATTTTGAAATTGTCAATAAGTATTTAACTTTCATTTTAAAAATATTTTGACCAACAGTAATAGCGTGAATCGATAAAAATCCACTTATTAAATACAATTAAAATCATAATAATGCTCTTGGCACTAAATTATAAAACCTATATACTATATTTTGAGATCGTCTCAAATGGTTAAAATAAGTGAAAGAAATAGTCAAAAAATCAAAATACGTTAAAACATCTCTGGTAGTTAGTATGATTCGAACCTCAGCTCAGTAGACGGATGGCCAAATTGTACTAACTATTTCATCACGCGGTTGATCAATTCGTAATACAATTTTGATTATGCATTTTCATTGGCAACGGATTTTAATAGAATTCCATTATATAAATTATACATATTTTTTCTAGATTTACTTCAATTGTTACGACTACGAATAAGACCAATTTTCGGTATACTATCAGTACCTGCTTTTAATTTGCTTGTGGAATGTGGAATCTAGAGAAAATTTATTGTTTACAAAAATATATGTCAATATATTATTGGGCAATAACAATCTTTTATACCTCTATACATACAAAAAACTTAGAAGTGTCCGTCTGGAATATATAAATTACCGCCTTCAATTAATAAGCTAATGGCATGCAAGGGGGTTACTTGCATGCCATTAATATGTAATAATCTTTTTAAAACTAAAAGAAAAACTGACAAAACTGTTACAGAGTTTCAGCTTTATTTCTTTAAATTTCACGCAGACGAAGAGTAACAAGATACAACATTGAGTGATACTTCATAACTAAAATTTAATAAAATACAATAGTTTTACTCGATTGTTTATAACATTTGCACCCGTTATCAAAATACCGTATATTTCCGTAGTTTAAATGTCATTCATAAGTATCGCCGCGACCTAGAAACTTGAGATAGAATAACCCAGTTCTAGGCACATGGTGACGTCAATCACTTATCCAAGTAAAATAGGTTTTGTGTGAATTTTACAGTAAATATTTAAACCATTCGGTCAAAGGTTCAATTTAATTCCTAAATTTATATGTATTTATACATAGGAAGGGTTTGTAAAAGAGATTTAAAATAGGTGAGGTGTAAAATAACAATATTACATTAAATCCCATCAAGAATTCGCAGCTGAACATAAATCGTCCCTCATAGGTTGCCTCTTATGAGTAATATTTGCCTAAATGTTGTATGCTCTAAGAAATGTTATAACCATCTACTTAAAGATCATTCAGTCATATTTTCAATAACATATACAATATTAACTGTAGTATATTAATATATTTTTAGATCAACAGTAAATCAAAAATTAAAAAAAGACGTAAACAGTTTGTTTCTACTTTTACTTTCAATAAGATACTAGGGTTCGTAAAATTTTTTTATTTATATTTTTGGTTACTATCTTATATTAATATACAAAAGTTAACAAAAACTACTCGTAAAAAAGGAAAATTACAGTCTATATGCTTCCCAGCCCCACCGCTGCGCACAGGCCTCTCATTTCTGAGAGGATTTTGAGAAAATAAAATGTCCGTAGCGATGCCTCAACGCTTACGCGACGTCCTGCGTGAGCGATCTAGACGCGAACGCGAAGCGTCGCGGCGCGGCGCGAAAACAACAAACAGTCGAAACCTATTGAAGTGGCCTACGTGACCAGCTGCACGTGGGGTGCGGTGCGAAGCGGGCGAAATGAAGCGAACGCGATCAGTTGGCTTGATATTTTCGCGCGAACTGGATGCGGTGTCGTCGTGTTTTTGTTTGGATAATGTCAGAAAATTTTATTAATGCTATCCAAGAACGTCCTATATTATGGGATAAAAGGAATAAAAATTATCACAACCGGTTATTATCGTACCGAGAATGGGAGGATTTAGCCAAATTAACTGGGACTACAAGTAAGAACAACACATTTATTTATTATAGATTGCTATTACACATATATCTTTGTAGAGGATGTTGTTCAAAATACAATTTAAAGTTTTCTCTCGCTTGTGCGGCTGCTCGTGATGTAGCATTAAATCTCCTTTGTGAATTATGTCGTGGTGATTGTGGTGTATTTTGATATGCTTGCCGGAAAGATATAAATTCAGTCTCATTTATTGATTCAAGATCACGAATAATATTGTGCAGCAAACATATGGCTTTTACGTTATGAACTGCATTTTCTACATTTGTTTCGATAGATTTATGCAAAATTCTGAATTTAGAAGTTATTGAACCGAAAGAACATTCCACTACCATTCTTGCTCGAGATAAGCGATAATTATAATTATCTTTTGCATCCCCTTTAGTTGTCGATCTTTCTGGAAAAGGTCTCATAAGATATTCTTTTAGAGGAAACGCAGCATCTCCTAGGAGAACATATGGAGCTTCGATATTTGAGCCCGGCAATACTTGTTCTTTCGGTATTTTTAGTCTCCCTTGTTCTATTGCACTTCGAAAGGGGCATTCATCAAAAACACCGGCGTCGTTTTCTTTTCCATAGGAACCGACATTTATCATTACAAACTTATAATTTGCATCAGTGACTGCTAACAACCCAATCGAAAAGAAGGATTTGTAATTATAGTACATAGAACCAGTTTTATTTGGTTTTTTAATGCGAATATGTTTTCCGTCAATACACCCGATACAGTTAGGAAACTGCCATCTGTCCCAAAAACATTGTGCTATGTTTTTAAAGTTATCTTCTGAAGGCTCGGGCATATGCTTCGTAACTAATTGTGTCCATATAGCTTTGCAAACTTGTGGTACGATGGTGGAAATAGCAGATTTTGAAATTCTGAACGAGTAAGCGAGTTGCCGGAACTGTATGCCCGTGGCTAAATACCTGAAAAAATTGAAATATATTAATTAATTATTCATTTCATTTTTTAGGTGAAACGGCGAAGAAAAAATGGAAAAATTTGAGAGACACATTTATAAAAGAATTAAAAAAAATTCCGAAGCCTCGTTCTGGGGCTGACGCCGACAACGAGCCGAAGTATACAGGCACGTGGCCATATTTTGAGTCCATGTCATTCTTAATAGTAATTTTGAAACCCCGAAAAACAGAAGGAAACATTGTAACAAAAACAGATAGCAATTCAAGAGATCTGCCGGAATCTACAGACGCTGCTAGTTTGGAAGACGATTTGGCCCTGGACGTGGCTGACAGTGACGACACCCAACTCCATGAATCTATGTCTACGTTGCAAGAAATGCCACAGAATACAACAGATATTAACACACATCAATCGCCTTTGCCTTCACCCTCGTTGCCAGCTATCACAAGACAAACACGCAAAAGAAAAGATAGTGACCTAGAAGCATTCCTCGACATCGAGAGAGAGAAGATGAAAATTCTTCGCCAGGGTCAAGAAGATACTACTGATGACGATATTCTTTGGTTCAAATCCATATTACCTTATATAAAACAGTTACCGTCAATGAACAAATTACATTTTAGAACGCAAATGCAGGAGCTTCTACTAACGGAGCTGTCAAAATTAAATCCAACACAACCCGGTTCTCAACATGGATATTACACTTCTTTGTGAAATTATTGAAAACTAATTATTGAAATAATTAATACTTCTTAATGCTAATGATACATAATAATAAATGTAAGAAATATTTCTTTTTCTTTTTTCTTACCTTAAAGTCACCATCAATCGTTCTTCTACAGAAATAGGTCGCTGAAAATTGGTACTAGTGAATTGCAAAACAGGTTTTATGGCTTGCACAATATATTCAAACGTTGTAGGCAACATTCGACAATATTCCTTGAATAACAAAGGTTGAGCCCGTAATTCCTCATACAAATTGTGAAATTCCCCATAAATATACCTTTCTAAGTATACAATATTAGTCCCACTTCTTCGCCGTACATACTTCTGGAGTATTTGATACTTAAGAAATGAATTTTCCAATAATATTTGTTTCCGTCCGTCCATGACAAATGCACAGTGCCCACTGAACGGCAGCGTCGTCGGTGGCGGCTGTGCGACACGATTCGCGTGCACGTAGGACTTAGCCGCCGCGTCGCACCGCATCGCATTGAATTCGCGTGTATTCGCGTTCGCTTTGAACCGCCCACCTAGGACGCCGAGTTAGATTTCACATGTCTTCAAAATATTTCTTTTAATTATCAGTCATGCCGGTTTGCTCACGATATTTCTTTCAATGCCAATTACGATGTAAATCAGCACTTAAAATTGCAATTAACAAATTCATACGACGACTGTTTGGCATCTGAGCTACTACAGCTTAAATTTAATACTATTACAAATAAAAACGAAAATCAATAGATATTTTAATAATAAGCTTGAGTTTTTAATTTTAAATTGCGTATCAAACACAGATTGCATTTAAAACACTGGTATTAGATGCCTGGGCGTATTCACCAATGTATCGTCTATCGCTAAAAGTGTGTTGAAGGTTAGGTACATGGCGGTGGCTGAGGCCAGATGCCATAAATCGTGTGTGTCTAAGAGACTAAGTGCAGTGCACGCAGCGTTATGTTGGCGGGACTGAGCGGGAGTTTCCTGTGAAAAGAAATGATTTACAGCAAGGTTAAGGTTTATACTGACGGCGGGTTTTTGTACAAAATAAGGCTGACAAACGAGCACACAGCCCAGCTAATGGTTAAGATGGGTAACTGGATGCTGCGGCCCATAGACATCTACATTTATCCTCGATTAAAAATAAAATACAGATGCGTTGTCACCCCTGAGGACTAAAAGGGAATGCTACGTTTCCAGTAAAAAAGGTCTCTGGTTCTCAACACTCACCATACCACGCAGCAGCATTAAGATGGTATTTTACGCTGATATTCAGAGAGCATGGTCCCAACCCCAGTCGAGCTGACCTATTCGTGTTATAATCATAATATAGCTGCAGCGTGGCTCTACCACGTAAAAGTGAACACGTTTGAATCCATCACCCCCTTTTGTCGTAAAAGGTGAATATGGATATGCCAGAAACATTATCACGGTCTTCGATTAGGCGACGGTATAACCATCATTGCTAGACGTAAAATATCCAGACCATTCACGGAAACTAGCGTCAATGGTGCAAGACTTCTGGATTTTCAAACGCCAATCTACTTGTTAAGAAGATGAAGCTTAAAAGCCCTATAACTCGTACGAATTAACTTGAGACCTGGGCCGATGACGTAATTGTTAATGTACGGTGTGCAAAATAATGCGTCGTAATATTTTTTTATTTGAAATTTTTGAGATTTGCATGAGATTATTAATAAAAACAAAATAAAATGTTCTGGCAAGGGGTGAAGTAATAAGTGATATACTGTTGCCATTTTTATATATTTTAAATATTTATTTTTTATAATATATATAATATTATTTTTAGTTAACGCGTCAAGGAAGGACAAAGAAATAAACATACACACTTTCTCATTTATAATATTATAAATTTATTTATTATACACTTTATTGCACTATAAAAAGTGTTACAGATTCGTACACAATAAAAATACAAAGCATAACAGGCGACCTTATTCATCAAAAATATCGAACTAGAGTCGAGACGCGTATCCGTAACAAAAATGCTATCGGTACCACAGAGTACTTTCTAATATACATCGGTACTGAGCGCGCATGGCCAGCGCGGGACGCGGTGCGGGGAGTCGGGAAGGGGGTCGCATTCCAGCGGTGTCTCAAGTTAATTCGTACGTGTTGTATGTACCCATACAACTTTCCTCAGAGGTCTTTCTCAGGCTGGTGAAGATGAAAAGTGATTGTATATAAAATTAAAGTGTCAAAGCAAACAATTCACATGTTGGTAAACGAACTCTGAAGCCACAGATGCGTTGTCACCAGTGATGGACTAAAGTGGAATGACTCTAAGCCTGTTATATACCGGCTCTTTGTTGTTTTTTTATAGAAGAGGGGGCAAACGAGCATGCGGCTCACCTGATGGTAACACCAACACCAGGGGAATTGCAGATGCTTTGACGGCCTTTTATAAAGGAGTAAGTTCTTTTCCTGAAGGTCCCTAAGTCGTAACGGTCCGGAAAAGCCGCTGGTGGTAAACTATTCCACAGAGAAGTGGACCGCCAAGCATCCTGATGGTGAGGATGGTATCGGGAATCTTGACGCGATGTATACTTACTTACAATACTATTCAATTAATTTGATAATTAATTAAATATGTAACAGTGTCATACATAATAACGTAACATAAACACTCACGCCTGTCACTCAGAGGGGTAGGCAGAGACTACAGACTTCCATTTGGCACGATCCTGACACACCTCTCTCGCCTCCTCCACATTCATATACTTTAAGTTAATAGGGTAATAAAATAATAAAATGTTATCAGCAAATGCGATCTTATTCTTATCCTGTACGCATAATATATAAAATAATAAAATGTTAACAGCAAATACGATCTTATTCCTATCCTGTACACATAATATTGTAAGTGGCACATTGGAGCAAACTTACCGACCACTTCGTGCGAGAGTCGAGAAACAGAAGCAGCGCAATTATCCAGGAAGCGTGCGCCAACGCGAGCTGGATCCACACGTATATGGGAATGGACTCGCGATGGACCAACTTCATCAATACGTAACTCAGCATGTATATGATTGCGTTGCCCATAAGTATCGCGAGCAAATGCCGAGCGAAGTCCTTGTTGTGTTCGTACATTCTGAAATTATATCTTTGGGACTACGAATCTTTCTAATATTGTATATAAGGACTATAATAAATTTAGCGTAAACAAACACTGTTTATATTAAAGATTGAATAAGATTATTGTTTTAGATAGGAGCCAGACGGGAGTTGCCTTTCGCACCGCTATGACTTCGTCTCATTGATTAATGCACGCCAACATAGGTGTCGCACGCAACTCAACACCGCTGCTTTCTACGACGTCACAACGCCGAGAAGCACTTGATAAACGTCTCCCTGGTCCAATACGAACAGAAAAACGTTTACGTATACACTCACTACGCACGAGATACGGATAAAAGGGTGCGTATCGCGTGCGTGTGGTGCAACGTGTGGCATGTCTCTGTGATTTGTGTAAATTGACAGTAGAATAAAAATAAAAATACACATAATAACTGACTATTGTTTAGACCACTCAAACTTCTTCATAGAAAAGTAGTCTCTAAACATAAATTTTAATGGTTTAAAGTGCTGTGGGTGGATGCGGTCGCATGCGACCGCTCGAGATTTGACGGACGCATGCGACTACATGGAAATTTTAAGGGGATTGAAGGGTTAAGAATAAAAAGACAGATGCGAAGGCACTCCTAAGAACTTAAGAGTAAGACTGGACTCACACATCCGGAATGCCTCTCTGAATTTATGATTTTAATTCATATTATTAGTTAAGAAAGCCCGAAAATGCATACAATTTTACTATACTCCACACGCATTCCGATTTTCTACCGACTTCAAAAAGGAGAAGGTATTCAATTCGACTGTATATTTTTTTGTGTGTCACCTCAGAACTATTTTACCTGGGTGAACCGATTTTGATGGTTCTTTTTGAAGTCAAAACTTCTTTAACGGCGTTGTACACTTTTTTGTAATGGGTAAAAAATGCTAAACTCGCGTCAGGACACGTGACCCTGATCGAAAATTCGTAAGACGGATGACGAAAGGGAGACAGCCGGCGCGGCGTAGGAGAGGAAGTATCCCCCTCACTTTCTACGGCGTAGATAAATATATAGCGTAAATGTAAAAAAAAAAATAGGCGCAGGCATGCCTGCTGTTTCGTTTAGGCGGCGCAGGGCGCTTGCACGAATGTTCGTGTGTGATAATTAAAGCAATTCGTGCAAAATTATTCCCTAATCATTCGAAAATATTAAAAATGCATAACGTTAATATTCAAGTTTTCACTTCTGCCGGCACTCCCGGAGTGCAACCCGTCGTTTTTTTTTATCTGAAAGCTGGTGCTTCTCGTGTGGTCCCATAAAAATTTGATCAAGATCTGGCAAGTCGTTTTTGAGTTATCCTTAATGCGTATTTAATTGACTTCGAACACATTGATGATGTTCTGATTTTATATGTATTAAAGTCGGTGGTAAACTTTTTTTTTTTAATTTTACCACTTGTTTCTGACTATGATTTTCTCAGATCGATCTGTATGCACTGACGAGCGTCATGAATTCCGGATTAGAATATTTAAGATTGTGATTTCATAACGCGCGTTTTCTATTCATTTGAACACGCGAGCACACACACACACACACACACAAACGGGAATCAGATGATGAAAAAATTCAGCTGAGACTGCGAGTGGTTGGTTGGAGAAGTTGTAATGTAGAACTGACTTTCCCTTACTCTGTGAACATTAAGATGATGAATCCAGTGTATTCGTTTGTGTCTCTTATTTTTAATTAAGCTGAAAGTAGTGCGATGAGTATTAATTCCTCTTTCATAACCGAGACGTGTGCCCGAGTCGAGGAACACGAAAGTATTGATTTTCTAACGATAAATTCCGAATCTGAATTCAGAAAAACATTTCGGATGAACAATGAAATGCTTAAAAGTTAAAATAGTAATTTAAATAACCCAATGTA